TAAGAGAGATAGAGGCAGAAGTTTTCTAACTGAAAGAGGAAATGGTTGATATGCAGCCAGGAAAGCTGGTCACAGCAATTTCCACAAGGTGGTTGTGTTGTTATCTCCTGATTCTCCAGTGCTTGTTTCATTTGCCTCCCCACCCCCACAAATGATCTTTCCAGCTCTTTCACATCACAATGCCAACATGTATTAATCTTCATCATTTTAAAATGAGATTCAGCTTGTCTTTCCAGCTAGTGCCTTCAGCCATCACCTTCTCTCCCTCCTCCTCTTCATTTCTGAACTTACTACCCACATACAGTGGGCTTGGAGTTTGTCCTCTGTGCCATGATTCATATATCCCAATTTGTCTATCCTGTCTACTGTTAATTACAGTATATCAGCTATGGCTGCTCACAAGCTACCTGTTGAGTTACTAGCTCCACATTTCTATCCCCAAACTTCTTTATGAAAGATGAATAAACCTTTTATATTGCAAAGTCTATCTGCAGAATTTCCTCAAAACAGGCACATTCCTATCTATCCCTATACTTAAAAATTACTGTCTGGTATCACCCTGAAACTAGAGCCTTCTGATTGTTTGGAACATTGTTTATTTTCCTTTTTGATTGTTTAGAATATTGTTCATTTTCTTTGTTTGTTTTACTTTTTTCTTTTTCTTTTTTAAAGGAGAAAGGGTGAGATGTCACCCTGAAAACTAAAGCCTTCTGATAATGTTTCCATAGTTTTAGTTACTTTCCCATGAAAGTCCTGCAAACATAAGTTGTTTATCACATCCCTTCTAAGAAATGTCTTTTGATGGACATTTCGCATGACCAGTGTGCTTGGGAAAGTGGTAACTTAATTATCCAATCCCTGGTCATTGTTGAGAATTTATAAATACTGGAGTCAGAGAATAAAGTGGCTGTTTTCCTGTTCTAACACTGAGAAGCATTCGTGTGAATCATTTTGTGTCCTTTAACGACAGTCTGGTCTGTTGGTGTATCACATCCATATCCCCTTTCCTGGCTTAACAAAAGCAATCTTACCCTAATTAGATCTTGCAGTTGTGAAGATGTGTTTCTTAACCTGCCATTTTGACCTTGCCACCTCTCCCTTTATGTCCCTCTGCTGCTTCCCTCTTCTGTGCTACATCAAACACATGCTATTTCTTTCCCTTTCCATCTCCAGACCCATTAGTCTGTCCTTCCTCATCCTCTTATCTACTACCAAGACACTGACTTTCCGCTGACCTACCCATACTGCCAGTCCGAGTTGTCCATATATTAGTTTTTCAGGACTTAATGTTTATTTTGTGCTAACTCCCACCTCATTTTCCTGATATACCCCAAACAACCCTTTGATGTCACAGTGACACAAATTTTAGGCAGCACATGTTCTGTGACCTTCTGTGATCTGTGGCCTTCTATGTGGACTGATAAGCTGATCCCCTCTGTGTGCATCTTGTCATCTATTGGTGCTGGATATTTTCCCTGGTGACAATTAGTACAGTACTGTTGGTAGAGAGTAAGGGTAACACTAGTTGTGATAAATAAATAAATGAACCAACCCAGAAACCGTCAATGTTCCAAGCTGCAGGGAAGGAGCCTAGCATTTGCAACTGAACTTTTATGAGGAGAGGAATAAAAGACAAATGTAAATGCGTCTCACAGAGAGAAGTGCTATGAGAACTCCTTGTTGCCTTTCATACACACATACTACTCCACATACATTCAGAGTTTTCACACATAGAAACTCATGAAGAGTTAGTTCAGATCCAGCCATAGCTCCAGATATTTTTCAATGAGACCTGTGTCAGAAGTGCTCATAGACACAAGAGTGAAGCCTTCATGATCTCTGCAGAACAGAAGATGGTGCTGTTGTCACTGACATGTGCCTCTCAGGTTTTTTTCTGGTGAAAGAAGAGCAAGGGATAGCAAAGAAAAGGAGAGGAGAGAAACTAAAATGAAAGGTACGGGAAGAAAAGTAATTGCCATTTCTTGGATTTTTTTTTCACCGGAGAAATTTAGAAACTCAAAGGGAAGAACGATAAACCCACAGCAAACCAAAAGGAGTATGTAAAAGAGCAATTAGGAGGAGCAGAGAGGGCAGCACAGATTGATCATATACTGGATACACTCTTCCTCTTTTCTCTGAAGATACTGTAACCACGCTTAGGAAGGTGCTGAATACCATCGGTTCCCCAGGGACTCCATAAGGAACTATTGACTGTCAGCACCTGGGATCATCAGGGTAGGCGTGTCTCAAGCCAGGTGTTTGAAACCAAGACATCAAAAAACAGTGGGAATTTTTAAAACAGCATTAAATAATGGAGTGGAGAAGAAGAAAGAGCAGGATCAGGCAGGCAGTGAGGAGCTGTGGCTGCAGCACAGACCCTCTTGCACTGAATCACAGACTGCAGGCTTGCAGCATTATCAGGGCTGTGCTACATGGCTTCCTTTCTTTATCTGCATGGGAAAAAAACAGCACAGGAAAGAAACAGCAAGGTATCTTAAGGACACTGCTGTTAGTGTTGTGCTGTGAGATTGTGCACATCTGTGTAAGAGATTCCAGTGTGAAATTCTTCTTTGACTAAGCAGGACAGCTACATTCACCAGAAACACTGCAAATATTCCTGGGCTTTTTAGGATGTTTACTTTAAAAATAAAGCTAGAGTTCTACTGTTGTAATGCTGTAAACATCCTGTGTTCAGAAGCAGCATTTAAAGGCAGCTGATGAAAAGCAGTTGTGTCCAATTAAACATTCCTAATGATGGGAAGTTACAAATCTGCTATGTGGTTTGTCACTGTAAGCTACAGAGAGAAAGTTAAGCTGGTAAATCTCTCCAGTTAGACTGAGTGCAGTGGAATGGTCAGGAAAAGATGAATTAGGAAAAAGAATTAAATATAATCCTTTGCCATCTGTCTTTATTTTGCAAACCTACTTGACAGGATACTACTGAAATCTGCAGACATTTTTTATCTGCTTCATGTAGCTGAAGAGCATTTGCTGTACAGACTGGAATTAAAATGCTTCCCAATAACAGCCATCCCACTTATTGTCCTTGTTTGCTTTCCTTTTTTAAAAAAACAAACACTTAGGATTTTTGCTTCAGCTGAGGCTGCACCATTAATTTTTGACCTCTCCCCTTCAGTAGGACTCAGAGCTGGGTGTTGAAGGCTAAACAGAGCTCACTATTGGTTTTACAGGGAAGCAAAAGGGCTGTTGAAATGTATGTACTGCATTCTTCTCCAGCTTTCAGCCTGAAAAGCATATGTAGATCTGGAAGAAATGTGACAATCGAGAGAATGTCCATATGGTATCACAGTTTCTCCATAACAGTTTTTGTCTTTAGGTCTTCATCTAGCAAACCATGTAAACACGAGCTTATCTCCAAGCACACGCCTGAGTATTTTTCTGCCTCTGGATTTTATTGTACAGGGGATTCTACTGATAATGAACCAGATAAGAGGATCTACTACAGTGGGGAAAATACGCTGTAGCTTCTGCATGAAAATTTACCAGTGGCAACCCTGGGAGCCTTTAGTCTTTTTAAAGCCCCAATGTTATTACTGGGAATAATACTACAGGAAGGGGGAAAAAAACTCCAAACAAATATAACAAAAGTAGCCCACAAGAACCAAGCTAGTTCTTACTTACTTCCTTGGGAATACAGCAAAATGTTTCTTTTTGTTTTCCTCTTTTTTTTTTTTTTTTTTTTTTTTTTTTTTTTTTTTTTTTTTTTTTTTTTTTTTTGAGGGAGGAAAGGAGGAAGGAAGAAAGGACAGAGGCAAAAAGAAATTTCCCTTTATTTCCAACTCCTACATATTTTTCTTTGCAAATGTGAAGGTTTGCATGTCAGCGTCCTTTCAGAATGCACGCTATGAAAAGCTTTGTAGCTCCTTGGCTTCAGAAAATAGAGCAGTGATGATTAGCTTTTCACAGATGAGCTAAAGTTAATTTGTCCCTTCTGGAAGTGTAGAGATAGCCTGCTAGGTACAAAATAGTTATCTTGGGTTTTCACATCGCTGGAGGAATTTGTCAGGCACTGGTTGAGACCAAGGTTATTTCCTCAGTGGGAATTTAGATTATGAAAGGCCCACACCACTGCTGCCTTCCATCTCTCACAGTCTTTCACATCAACAGGGAGCAAGGGAAAACAGCTTTAAAATATTCTCCTTCATCTTCCATAGTACTTTAGATTACACTAGTTTAACAAACCTCACAAGGAATAAAGCGCGAATCTGTTGTGCTAAGATGTAATTTTCACATTTTGACTTGTGCATCTCACTTCAAAGGACTTCTTCCAAGTTTATTTTGAGTTTCCCATGCTAAAAATAAAGACACAGAACAAATCAGTTCAGTTTAGCTGAGAACAGCAGTTTTGGAAGCATTAGGCAAGAAGAAGCTCTAGTGTTTTCAAAACAGCTCCTAATGCTGTTGTCTTTAATGGGGATGGCTAATCCTCCCTGCTTTCTCATATTCCCAATGATTCTCTCTAGGTGGAAGTCTGCCAGTTATTCTGCAAAACTCCTGACTCATTCCAACATCATTTAGGGCCTTCCTAATTGGTTGCAGGATATCTTCAAAGTCAGAAGAGGGCTCTTGTTTGATGCTGTAAAAGGTTTGCCAAAAAGTTACAATCTCTCCCGTTTCTGTAATGTACTTTAAAGATACTGGAATCAAAGGAAAAACCTCCAGATCAGCTAATTTTTAGAAATACCTCACTTCTACAATTTCATTATTAAGACGGTGGGTGTTACTTAAAATATTTTTCAATTATTAATTAATTAATTTACCTGGGTCTTGCAGGTTTGCTTTGGGTTCTTTTCCTGCTGCCCATACATGAACAGTGAAAAGAAGCACTTGTCATATTGCCACAACATTTCTTTTTTCCTTCACCCCTTAAATCTGAATCTTTTAAAAAATGAGAATAGTAGTCTTTTACACATTTATGAGGTCTTCCATTAAAGTCTATTTGAAGTATTTTATAGACAATAATGTATGAAGCCTCAAAGCACACTGCTGCAGTATTTATTACCATGTTTTTACACTCAGGAGAATGTAAAATAATCACACGACTTCAAGACCACAGTAACTAGTTGTCGAGTTTTGGGCGAAAATAAGTACTTCAATGGAACCCAGTATTCAGAAGCTGAAACATTTTTTAAAAGTGTGGCTCTCCTCTAGTAGCTGCCCAAAAATGAAGGCATCCAAAATAACTCTCCATCTTCAAGAATCTTGACATTAAGATGTTTTCTTCGACCTCCGCCTCCTGTCACTGCATCTAATTAGTTCTTTTTTTAATCGTGTTGCATAATTCTGAAACTTTCCACTGTAGAGGCATAACACTATATTGCAAAAACTTTGCTTTCTTAAAAAAAATTAAAGAGAAAAAGGTCTTTTCCCAGAAGCCATTTTCTAGAAGCATTTGGCCTTAGCCTAGACCCCCTTCTAGTTTTTACTGAAATGACTGAATATATATCAATGCTGAGGAAAACCATTTCTTGGGAGGTTTTGCAATCTTTTTCATGGGAAACTGGTTTAATAACACTTGCTCATATTGGAGTTGCATTTGTAAGCCCACTCTAGGGATCTTTGACCATCTGTGCTTTTAAATAAATGGTGTTTTCAGATCATGGTGCAAAATTTTCCTCACACAGGCTCCCAGCTTTTGGTTAGCTCTGCAAGGAAGTTCTCAGACAAACTATCATAATACCTGTTCTAGATTTAGCCAAAATGCTAATCTTTCACGTGAGATCCTCTTGCATACCCAAAAAGGCATATAGCTTTTGACAGTAAATGTATAAATGCTGGCTAGTTCCATATTCTATACTGTAAGGCATTCTAAAATGTGCTCCAACAAAGAAAAACAAGTCTAAAAATAACACAGGGGTGTGTGTACGTTTGACTTTGTGCATGGAAGAAGAATACGGCATTTCTCATCTCTTGATAATTCTACGTGAATATACACAGTTTATATTATAGAAATACTTTCTCCACCTAAATGTTACTGAGGCAGATTCATCCTGGACTCTTAAAAGGAAACATTTGTGTAGATTCTAATTCGTGAATCACTGTTAATAAATAACTTGTTGCAGGAGATACTTGGTTAGTCATTGCTTGTGGTATGAAGTCCAAGCCAAATTCCTGTTCATCCTGTTAAGATCTGTAATACATAATTAAAGCAGAGTCTGTTAGGTACAGGAAACAACCTACTTTTGTCAGCAAAATGTTCTTTCACTTTAGAAATAAAATTAACCCAAAATGTTGGGGTTAATGGTTTTTTAATCTTTAGAAAATCAGAGCAAACTTATCCTTTATCCTAAAAATAAAAACCCTCATCTGCCCATAAATCTGGTAGATACATTTCAGTAAGGATTAGCAATACTGCTTCGTTCAGGGACTCATAAGTGACAAAATAAACACGAGAGATGAAGGACAGGGGGAAGATTAAAATAAGTAATCTTGTTCTTAGAAAATAACCTGACTTTTTTCCCCTGCAATAGCAAAGGAAGCCCGGCAGATGGTAGAAGGAGACCACAGTGCTAAAGGAGAGCTCTTTGCATTGTGCTCGTTATAGACATTAGTCCTTAAAGGAAGTTACTGACTTATTTTTCATAATGCAATCTAAGTGTTTCAAACAAAAATAGGACCACGATTGTTTTGGCTATGCATTTTGTGTCCAAAAATCTCATGATTTTGACCAACATGGCAAATGTATTCTTTTTCACTATGTTGGTTTGTTGGGGTTTTTTGTTGTTGTTACTGGGGGGCAGTTTTTATCTGGCCAGCATTTTGATTTATTATTCAGGTGCTGCTGAAGATCATATCTGCATTACCCAAAGCCATAAAAAGAAGAAAAAGACATTACACTTTTCAGACCATATTTGCACTCTGAGTGACAAGACCCTGCAGAGCTCCCTATCTGCAGCAGCTTTCTGTCATGAGTGCCAGTGAAGACCTGGAATCCAGCAATATGTCTGCTCTAATCCTAAGAAATGTACAATTGGAGGCTGACATCTTGTTTTATCTGGTTCATTCTTTAAATATTCTCTCTCTCTCTCTCTAACTCCTATGTCTGGCTTATGTCATATCAAGATAGACATTAAACACCTGAGAGATGATCCAGATCAAAGGCACCCCGAATTTTCTCTGTAAAAGATCAACTGTTATATAAAAACTACCGGTGTTACTGCAATTTTGGTGACACTTTCAGTAATTAGAATGGGCTTCAGAAATGTGAGGACAGAAATGCTAGCAATAGGGAACCCCTTTTTAGGAGTGCTAGTGCAGAAGCAGTGGATGACAGGCGGTAGCTCTGTCATCAGTGACAGCATGACACACCTCTTCCTACTCATCCTTTTGGCACCTAAATCCCACAGCCACCCCAAGCATTTCTTGGCCGCAGCAGAAGACCCGTAAAAATACATTCCCCAAATAGTTTTCAAACAACCAGGTTCATTTTATTACATCAGGTAGAAAATAAAAATGTTTGGATCTTTTTTTGATTAGTGGGCATCCTACTGTTTTTTGGGGGGCATGCAGGAGAGGGCATGTATCTCTTGCTGAGTGACACCAAGTGGGCTTATTTTTTGGTTATCTTTTGCAGGCTTGGTGGCCAGGTGCTCGAGTGCTCAAGCTTGAAAAGGTTGCTGTATGTACACTGTCTTCTACGGTCTTCAGGATGAACAGCAGTTGCTTATTCCTGCCCTCAGTACAGTTCCCTAAAATGATGTGTTTATAGGGTGCACTGCCAGGGCCACCAGAAGTGTCACTGGTCCTGCTCTCTGCAGCAGGCAGGAAAGCCTGACTGCCCAGGGTTGTGCTCCCCTAGGGACTGGGACTCTGCTGCTCCCTGCCTCTGCTCTGTCTCCCACCCAGACTGCAGCTGCCTGTTACCTGCAGCTCAGCCTTTCCATGCTGCAGGTTTCTCCCTCCCTCAGTGCCTCCTGCGCTCCTCATTCACCGCTGGCTAAGGTGACATTATCCTCTGCCGGAATATCCAAGTCCCAAGTGAGAGCTTCAGTTTTGCAGCTTTAGTCACATTCGAGACCACAGCAACAGCATAACCTGTGAGAACCTTTACATATACATTCTTGATATGTCTCATTTTATAGCTAAAGTACTGGGCTGGAGGTTTTTTTTTGTTTGTTTTTTCTCTTCACTTCTTGTGGGAGCAAGGCTATTTTCCTCTGTGGCTGAAGAGCCTGTTCTTTCATGTCAGGGTACTGTAGTGCCTTGTGTGTACACCTGGAAGCAGCCTTCATTGTTGGAGTTGGTGTATTGTTCGCTTGTGAGCACAGCTGACTGCACTCTGCTTGAGCTCTTCAGCAGTGTATTTCTGGGGTATCACATCTCTCCCTACAGTCACTGCTCTTTTGCTTTGATATGTGCCCTCTCAATTAGGTCTGCAGACTGCATAATCCAGTGTTATCTCTGTGTCTTCTGCGCACAGCAACTTAATGTATTTGAGATTTCAGGGAAATACATATTTACAAATGTTGTATTACATGAGCAAGAACTTAAGTATTCAATAAAATAGTTTGCGTCCCAGAGCATGGTATGTCCAGCAGAAATAATCTGATAAAAATACCTTGTTCTGCTGGTAGCTCTGTGAGGTCTTTATTACATCAGTCACAGGAGGCTTTGGCTTTCATGTGTTTCTTCTGTACATGCTTGCTTTCATTGCAAATCACATCAGTGATGCCACTGCTCACGGTATCAGACGATGGAAGCAGATTGAGCTGGGTTTTCTGAGATTGTTTCTCCACTCAAGAACAGAGATGCCATGTACTTTCTTCATGTTCTTTGGCATTAGTAAAATTTAAGCATTTTAAGTGCTAATTCACCATTTGGTGGCAATGCTGTGGTGGTAACTGAAGGGAGTCAATTTGAGGATGGATTGCAAGAAAGCAGATGTGTTCCACTGCATAGGATATTCTGCCTATTAAAGTACTTCATTGCTTTAAACTCACCCCCTTGACTAGATGTCTGAATAGCAGCCCAAATAGCCAAATTTGGGGCTGGGAGGCAAATTTGTGTTCTCCCTATGGGTGGTGGAAAGAGCAGTGTGCTTCCACTTTTCATTGCTGGTTGCCCTAAACACGGCACAACAGACCACCAGATGTTGGCTAGCCTCTGTCATATTTGGCCAGGACAGAGTATCTCTGGCATCCTCTGCACACACTGCAGATCCAGAGGAGAGCTGGACAATTCCCAAAGAAATTGTCCATTCCCTGCAATCTGGATATTGTGATTACCTTCAATCTGTTTTAGTACATCCAGTAGTCTGGAAAATTGGGACATTTCCCTCTGCTTTCTGGCTTTTCTAATAGGAAAAAAAATAAACCAACAAACCAAAGTTTCTGTTTGGAGGTATCTCCTGTTCTGCTGGAGATACTAAAATTAATCTGTAGCTTAGCAAGAGGAACATAGCTGTATCAATGACCTGCACATATGTGAAAGCTGTGGGAGAATAGCTATCAGATAGGCTGCAAATCCCAACAGACTGTGGATGGAGTGTGTGCATCTGAGGGCAGGAGCCTTCTGTATGCTCTAAATTGCTGAGGTTGGTCCCGGCTCTTGGGAGATCAACAGATGTCTCATACAGGATACTGTGTAAACAGTCCCCACACCAGGATGGTTTTATTCAGCTCTAGGTCTGCTCCCTGCCTCCTTCGAGCTGACAGATGAAGGTGGGATCATGGTGTGTCACAGCTTCTGCCACACAATCTCTGCGTCCATGCCCAGAACCCAGCAGCCATTGCACTGATCCCTGAGAGTCCCTTTAACACATCTTACTGTCAGCACTGATACTCTACCACTTCACATCCGATCCCACTAGGGCTCACAACCATTTGCAGGTGCTCTTCTCCTGGATGTGGTGAGGTAGTATCTTTCTTCCTTTCTTTCCCCAAAAGTTTTTGTCAATACCCTATGTACCATTAATGTCTTTGCTCTCACCAAGCTGGATATTCCCTCATTTGTAGGAACTCAGTTGCACAGCTTTTTCCTGCTTGTGGAAGGTGCTTCAGGTTTCAGAAAGGGGTAGGTTGTCTGGCATCTCAGCATCCATACTGCATGTGTGACTTGTTACTTAACACTACTTAAACATGTCTTCCTTTTCCATTCCCTCTACTCCTCCAATTATTTTTTCTTTTTATTCTGTACTCACTCCTGAAGGCACAAATTGAAAAGATAGAAATAGATGAAGGCAATTGTATGCCTGGAAGACATCCTCCTCTTCAAACACTCCTTGATATTCCTCCCAACAGCTTTGTTGCAAGGATGCTAGTGAATATTGCCAGCGAGGCACATACAATTTTTTATTTTTTTTTTTAATTTATTCTGCCTCCATTGCCTGAATGAATTGTTTGCTTCAAACTTAAAGTGCCTGTGTGATGACATTTTACTGGATGCAGCCGGAAGTAGAGGATCTGTTGTTGCCAGCATCACTGATTCAACCTGCAATTTACTTTGCCTAATGGCATGGGGTCATTGCATTGCTTTAATTCAGCTTTGCATGGTTACAATTCCTTTCCCTCTTTGGCATAGCTGCAAGGAAGCCTTTGCATCCTAACACATTCAGTAATGTCCTACTGTCTCCGTAGCATTCATTTTTCTAACTAAGTGCTGCTCTCTCTTGGAACAGCTCAGAGGTTTTTTTTTGCCCTTTTGCAGCATATTAAAGCCATTGCTGTGCATTCTATCACATGTACATTTTTCTCACAGCACCAAAGGTCTTCCCTGATATCTTCTGCTTCATATTTGTGCATTTGCTTTTGGTATTACTTTATGCTTGTCAGTTCTACCTTCTGCCCCACCTACACTCCGCTTTGCAGCAGCTTTAGACACTCCTATAGTATACTATCAGTGAGGACAGCTTTTCTTTCAGCAGTCTCATTGCACTTTTTTCTCACTTACGAATCTAACACTAATTATTTCAGGTTTAAGACTGCATACTCGCATGAGTCAGCCATTTTCTGCACAGTTTGGCAGCATACCAATTTATTGTTTCTCCAGCTTCTTGATTACACAACTGTGGGGAAGATACTTTCCCTATGTGTCATTTTTCTGAGGACTGGAAATGCTTCTGAGACATTTCTAGGATTTTGCATGGAGTTCTTCCAGTCTGCAGCTGGTGTACATCCAGACACTGCAGAAACACATGGGAGTTACAGCCCAGTACAGCTAACAGCAGGAATGGGCTTCTTTTGGCTTCCTGCTTACCCAGCCCTGCAGCAATGGGTTACATACCCCATGTCACTCTAAGGAAGACCTACAAGACCTGCCAATACTTCCTCTTTTCTTTTCTGCAGCTTTGGGGCAAGAACCTGCTATGAACCCATGATGTTGTTTTCTCTGTACTTCTGGGTTTTGGGGAAGTGCAGTGCCGTCTCTTTTTTTCCAGTCTTCACAGCTGTCTATGACATATGGGTGCTTAATCTCTTTTGCCACAATATCCAGTGTCCACTCTGGCACTGAATATGAACCTGAGGGAGAGCCAGGGAGCCAGTGCTGGTTGATGATTCTTATCTTCACCCCCTTTACCTCCTGCTCTGGGAGTGCTTCGATAGCAAGAAACTCTTCCCTGCTTTCCAGCAGAGCTACCTTCTCTTCTGGAGCTAACACAGCCTGTCCCAAAAGGAAATTGCCAGGTCTTACTTTGTTGTGCCAGGACAGACACTAAGTAGTCAGCTAGGGAAGGACTGCTGTAATGGAGACTGTGGATTTTGTACAGGAGTCCAAGCAAGAGACAGCTGTGCAGTCTGAAAGATGATCAGAAGATAAAATGACAAAGGCTGAATTTCTAAAGACATTATACTGCCAATTAAAAGTCTGAAATCTTCCTGGCTTGCCCTGCCCCAGAAATTCAGATCAAATCATTCACTGAGCTGTTCCCACAAAAGGAGCTGGAAATTCAATAGGTCACATTGTCAGCTAGAATAAGTCCACTGACTCCAGGGGAACTACTCCACTTTCTGTCATCAGAGAACCTGGCCCCATGACCACAAGCTTCAGATTTTCCACATGGCTGTTTCTTTGGGATTTACATCATCACCCTGCACAACAAGAGTTCAAGGTCACAGTGAAGAAGGATTTTTAAAGAAGCAAAACAAGAGATCCAAAAAAACCTCAAGTTCATGCTGTGCTTCCACAATACCACCTGGTTTAGTAGACCTGTGCATCAGTATCTTCCTCAGGTTCCACGTGATTGCTGCCATATCTCAGTGCTGAGTCCTTCAACTCAGGACCAGAAATGGTGGAGGTCAAGGACCCACATAGCAGCTGTGGTATGACTTTGCTTCTTGCCAGTCCCATCCCATCTATGATACAACACTTGTGGCATCAAGGTACAGATAAGGAATGCCTTAAAAGTGTTAGTTTCCCTTATTGTTGTCTCCTAACCTGCTCTTCATTAATACAGAAAGGAATATCTTTTATCTCAGTCTTACAGTAAGAAACCAAATAATAAAATAACACGTAGGATTTCTAGGATGAGCAATGCCAATGAGAACAAGCTTTAAAAATTCTGCCTGAAATTTCCAAAGCACGACATTCACCCCCAGGCAGAAAGCCTGCAAACAGTTCTGTGTATCAATTAAGAGGTGCTAAGTCACTTCTTCAGCCTCATGTGGGCTGCTCCATCAGTGAGATTCAGCTAAAAATCAGTTAGGAAGAAGAATGTCATTGCTGCTATGAAGAAGAATGATCATTACCTAACACACCTATTCTTGCAAAGGCATGAGTTCAGTAATTTACTGTGTCTTTCCTATTACTGACTACTGTGATATTATAAGCTATATATCATATTAACAAAATAAGAGCTTTGGTGTTATCCCTTCCTGTCCTCTGCTGTCACCCCAAACCTTTTATGCGAGGACTGAAAATCTAAACTGTTTCAAAACTGTCAGAACAGCAGGGGTAAAAACTCTTTAAAATGAGGTACTAATTATTAATGTGAATGCTTTTCACATCCATCTCCTACTAACTATCTCAGTGGAATGATTCAGTTGAACGTTGCTCAGTGAGAAGATCCATTTCTCATACTTCTTTAATTTTTTATCCATTTGTAATGTTTCCCAAGACCTAGCCAGCAATAAGACAGCAAAGAAATTGCCCAAGGCATCCTCTTAAAGAAGCAGTATGGGCTGGGTTTTGTTCTGCCACAGATTAGTCTAAATTGGTAGTTATTCCATGATGTCAGTGAAACTGAACTGCCGAAATGCAGAGGCGAATCTGGCCCCATGATCTAATTCCATGATGAAATTGCTAGTGTAAATAAATGACTGCTGCTGTTCAGTGCTTTCCCCCCACTCCCCCAAGTGCCCTAATGAATAATGAGTTTTATGAATAAGCTTTAATGAATGACTGAATACATTTTAACGGCCCAACTAATAAGATTGTAAGTTAGAACACTTTCCTTCACACTTTCCTCCACTGCCTTCCTTTGCTTCCTTGAACCAGAGAATTGCCCTTTTAAACTACCTGTCAATCACACATACAATTACCACATCCCAAAAGGCGTTATCAAACGGCAAAAGTGGCCAGTTTTTAATTCCGGGAAAGACGTTCCATATTTGTTTTAAGCGTCTAACTCAGGTTTCAAAATGCAAGTTGCTGAAACAGAACAAACCTCTAAGCATTTATTCCTTCCTTCCCTCCGCCCCCCAAGATTAAAATCCATTCATTTCAATCAAGTCATTCAGAGGAAGGCTGTAAAATGAATTACATAATTAGACACTTAATACACTGCATATGGAATTTTAATTTCAGATGAAAATCAGAGAGGCTTTTCTAAAGCTCTTCAGTGAGAAAAAAAAAATAGTGGTATTTGAAGACAGCTAATGCTTTTCAGTTTAGTGCTCCTTTTTTGTCTGAGTTCCCTATTACTCTCAGCATTACTGAATAAACCTTCTTGACTTCCATCAGAAGGGGCAAATATAGCCTTACAGAGGGAAGAAGACAGGAAGAGAGTCAGACTAAGGACCTAGTTTTGCCAGGTTACAATGCAATCACAAAGAATGAAGTGACTGCTTCCTCTGACTGAATCCTGTGGGAACCAGTTTGGGGACAATTTTCTGAAATGTCTTCCAGGAGGCTGAAGCACAAAAGTCAGAAATGAAGGCACCTTCAGATGGGCCTGTACTTCTGAAAACACTCAGTCAGATACCTGAAGTCATATGAATAATATGTATCTGATCCAGAAACAGTTTTAACCAAACACCTGATGACCAACAGTGGGATTTTATGGCTGCAGCCTAAATAGTAATTGAAAATTTAAAAAAAAAAAACAAAATAACAACCCAACCACCCCACAGGAGAGCTAGAAGGCAATTGGACAGTTTGCTATCTGATGAACTTCACTGTCTCTCTAACCAGTTCATCCTGTTCAATCCTGTTGGCCACTCATTTCTGTCCTGCTTGTGTTGACATATTCTGCAGGCTTTTAACCACATTACTGAGTCAGGCAACACCAGAAGATGACCCATTAGCCTATGAGATTAAACAAGAAACGCTAAACAGGAGATAATAGTCAAAGGTGAGGGAATGGGAACAAGTCAACATTACTCAAGGGTTAGAAAGATGTTCCAAAATGTAATCTGTGTTCATTACCTTGAGTAAATATACAGTCAACCTCCATTTGCACAAGCCCTGATCACATGAAGTAATAATTTCAGGGGTAAAAAACCACATTCCACCAGTGTGGAATTTGTGCAATGAAATACTCATCCCCACATGTGCTCCTCCCAGACTTTGGGAGCAATTTTATTTACCTGCATTACTTTCACTGCTCGCTGATGACTTTCAGATCCATCTGCCATACCACAGGGAATGCAGCAAGAAGTACAACGATTCTACTGTGGAAAAAAAGTCCCAAGAAAACTTTGGAGACAGAAGGAATGATTAAAGTATTGAAATCCTCTGGCATTGATCTGCATTCCAAATTACCTCAATCGTACTACCCTCTTTCCTGTTTTGCTTTGTTTTGCTCTTTTTCTGAAGGTCAAAACAACTGTATTAAAAATATGCTTATCAGTATAAGTTCATAATATTTCTTTTCTTTTTTTGTTTGGATTTTTTTTTTTTCAAGGGTTGAACTAAACTGTAAACCTGATTTGCTCCATGAGTTGCATGTGAGAGGTTTTTTTCTTATTTTGGTCTAGAGGGGGGCTGAGGAGGAACTTCCTGATTCTAATGGAAACCTTTGAGGGTTCCCTCATCCTACATCATGCCAATCCCATGCACTTTACTAGATGCATAATTCAAGTCACTGCAACATTATTCTCAGCCTAGGCTGGCATACATCACTGATGGTGGAAAAATCAAAAGCAAACCTGCCCAAGAAAGCAGAAGAAAACCTTTACAGAGATTTGCAGCTTCTAAACTCTAAAAGGTTGTGGGGCTGTTTTCCTGAAGAGTTGCTCTTGTTGAACAGGAGAAGCGCAAAGTCTTGTACCACAACTGGCACACACCAGATAAAGATGTGCTCCAAAATCTTGGCTCTTTCTTCCATGTGCCATAGGCAGTTAGAAACAACAGGGTTGTTAGTTTTTTGTGGAAGAGGTATGGGCCTTGCAAGACTATTGGAAGCCCCTTCCCAGAACACTTGTCAAGGAGCTTAGGCCAGCAGCTTAGAGTCACATGCCATTCTTTCACTTTGATTGCTACAGAGGATTGATTGGGAAAGAGAAGGGATCTGTCTGGTTTTTCCAGTACTCCAGCTCAGCCTCCTGGGGACCTGATGCTGAGGCAAGAGCCATTGCTCTGATCCTTTGTGTAACCAGGCTGCTGGCCTTGGACCCTGGCACCCTGTTATCCTCTGGAGCCCCACCACCTCTCACCTGGCAGCTCTGCAGTACAGTCCCCAGATGTTAAGCATCAGACCTCACACTGAAATGCAAATGTTTCATTTTTAGATGTTATGAAGGTTCCCTCACAGCAGCTCTGGCTTCATATAATGCTCAACAAAACACAACAGCAAAGGCCTGCAGACAGTTGAGTCATCTCACTGTAGAGTTAAGTTGTACAAGACCTCCAAAATCATTTTTTCCAGCCTGAGCAAACACAGAGCCTGGCAATTTTGGACATGTAATATTATAAAAACTTATTAAAATACATCTCAGAGTGTCTTGTTTCCATGCACCACTTTTTTTCTCCCTTAATTATTTGATGTTTTCAGCTGCAGGAAACACCCCCTCTGCCCTTGGAACTAGAGCAACTGTGTCACAGGGATCACAGTCCCTTTAAAGTTCATGTGGTTACACCATTGCTGTCCCACTTCTATCACAAACAGTGTCACTGCACATCTGGTCTGGCTGTGCCTGTTTTCTGCATACCCTTTCCTGCCCAGGGATCACCTTGAGCAGATGTCGCCCTCCATCCAGCGGCTGGTGAGCAGCCATGGTGGCACCGATCCAGCGAAGGAAACTGATGAGCCATCATGTTTCCCCATCCAGTGCCAGCAGGGCCCTGGCTTGATTGCCCTCTTTAAAATGTTGCTTCCAGATGGAAATTCCCACTTGGAGAAAACTCTCTGAAATGCACGTACCCATAGGAAATTACTGGGCAAACACAAGAAGAGGAGTCTGTTTATGTCTCTAAAGCCTGTGTCCGCACTAATCTGACTCCAGGCCTCATTATTCCTGTTGTGCTCACTGCAATAGCTTACCCTGTCAACAGGAGGATGTATCAGGGCAGCCAAGCACTGACTGACTCAGCACAGTCACAGCTTAAGAATTCCCTGAGGATGGGTGGACAGAAGTCAGCATGGAGGACAGAGTCACCAGTGTTCAGCTTAAAACGGCTGCAGGGGGAAGCTCTCCTACAAAATACAGTACAGCAGCTGGCCAATTTAAACTCTTTCTCACAGCCACAACCTTTCTCTCCTTCTAGACAAAGATGAGAGGCTGTTTCTGTCTGACTGGTGTTTAACACTCCCTGACTGTGTGAGATGCAAGAGTCATGCACCATGGCAACATGAAGGTACAACATGCTGCTTTCCCACAGCACTGAGTCTTGAGCTACAGACCACGCTTTCCACATTTGCAACACACTTTCTGAGTGGGTCAGACCCACAGACCTTCTCTGCTCCCCTCCACACTACAGACCTGCAACAATGTCCTAATACTCCTGCTTAAGAAGGCAACAAATAAAAAACCTTGTGGTATATCTTCTACAATAAACATACTTCTCATAATGGCAGGTGCAGACAAAAGAGGGAGAGAAGGTGGATGAGTTTCTTTGAACACTGCTTAGCTGGGAGGACATTATTTCTGCATATTTTCCTGAGCCATCAATTCAAAAATGATGCTTTGAGTGGGATTTGTCTCACTCTGCTCTAGATATCTACATCTGAGCAAGTCACCTTTCATATTCAATGCAGAGAAACAGGCATGTCTGGGGTGTGAATCATCTGATTTACTTTATGCATCTCCTTTAGACTAAGATGAATCACACCCCAGAAGTGCTTATTTTTCTCTATTGACTATAAAGGGAATCAAGATGAGTACTCAGATAGAGACACCTACATTTGGTCAGATGACTCTTACCCTGCACCTGCTGAGACACATCATCAGGTAACATCCTTCACACAGGCAATCATTACTCTCACTCCAACACTCACCCATGCCAAAGCCTACAACCAAGACAGCAGTCCACTCAAGATCCCACTCCAAAATCTGCTACATATCCAAAGCCAAGGATCTGAACATCAGTCTTTGCTACAGAAATTAATAGAGGAAATAGGTGGGAAATGTATTACTGTATTGAAGGAGGCCCCCAGAATGGAAGGGTAGAATTGAAGTAACATGCCTGGAAGGAATTACCATTATTGGCATAGAGGATGGGATCCTATTGAAGACACTTAGTCCAGGGTGGGGTCTGGGGAACATAAAAATTTCCATTGCCAATTGCAACAGCAGGAATCACGAATTTTTTAAAAAATAGAAGTTATCAACTATTAGTATTTTGAATTTTTCACAAAACCCAAGAAACAAGGAGAAGGAAGTATCCATTTGGAATGCAGGAACACCTGCATTCATCCCCTACAGGGCTCTGCGAAGGCAGATGTAGTTAAGGCTGATTCCTACTGCATTTACAACGCTGAAGACCTGATGTGCACAGAGCTCAGAGAAGTGGCAGGTTCTCCTGTTGGCATAGCCTTCCACTTACCTGAGAGTGGCCATGCCAGCCAGTGATCAGTGGCCTGCATCCTTACAGCAGATATCCATTTCAGTCCATAGCCATCCTCAGCCTGTGAATTTCCCCGAAGTTTAGCCCTGGTTCACTTATACCCATTCCACATTTGTATGATATTCTTATTTACCTTCTTTTATTTCTTACCTTCTTTTATCATCAGCCGTGTGCTGCTTGTATTTATTGCAGGCAAGCTGGTTGGAAGATTTCATTGAGAACCAGCTCGTCCCATGAGCACAATACCCGGCACATACTGTGCTTTTTCAGTGAAATCAGTTAGAAACAGTACCTTGCTTGACAGATCACTCATTACCCACAGAACTGTTTCCTTGACCCAGCAGGGCAAGTTCATAGACATCCTATCTGGATGTCCTCAAGGTTCAGAAATTTCCCCGTCTCTTGTCCTGTTCACATCCATGCCCTCAAGAGCACTCACTTGCTGTCAGAGGTGTCCAAAAATACAGCATACACTCCTCACATGAGGCACGTACTGGCCAGAAATAGCCAGTGTTTCCATTCAGCATGCCCATCTGCCCTTTGGTCTCCCAAGCATTCACTATACCCACATTCTGCAGCTACGCAAGGAAACATTCATTTGCTCCTTGTCCTGGCCCAAGTCTCCAGCAAGAGATTTCCTAAGCTGGGGCATGGGAGGACAAGCTGGGTTTCTGCAACTGACATATGGAGTCATAGCACTGTTGATATCCATTAGCACAGACCTATGAAAAGTTCAGGACAAACGTGAATTTTGGATAAACACAAACAAGGCAGATTTTTATAACATGTATGAAGTATTAAAAGATTATTTTATTTTTATAAAGACAATCAAAACATCTGGAATCTCAAATAAGTCTCTGTACACACTGTTTTAACCCAAGCTCCCTGATATTTATGGAATTTCCCCTGCACTGCATTCTGAGCAGAGCTGACAGGCTGAGGTGGACCAGGCTTCTTTCCTGTGTTAGAAGAAACAGCTGAATACAGAGCACCTGCTTTGGGCAGACAAACACAGTTAGCTGACAAGCCAATTTTTAATGGGAATATTTGGCCGAGTAGCCATCCCAAAACCAGGCGTGAATTTCTACTCTGGCATCACAAAAGGGACATGTGATACCTTTGTTTATGGGCCCAGCACAGCTCCTCCTCTGCTACCATAACATCTGTCACCCTCCCCGTGCAGCTTATGAGTTGGCTCACCTGTAGGTGACTCATTTCAAACTCTACTCTGAAAACAAAAGCCTCAGTGCCGGGTCTTTAGATACACTAGTTGTTGCCAGAGCTATCTTTCCACAACAGAGGAAGACAAGTGAAGCCAAAGCAACAATGTCCTTCAGATTGCAACCTGAGGACCTGTGTGTACCATCAGAAAGCCACACTTCCCTAACTCAGTATTTCCTCGGGCTGCCGCTGACTTTCTCTGCTTACCACAGCAGGAAGTTGCACCATATGACACCTGCCCAGAATACTGAGCATTTGGCTTAAAAAGCACAAAGTCATGGGGAAACAATGATTAACTGTAAATCACTGTGGAATCCAGTCCCCAGGGGAATACCTGCAGACAGCCTAGCAAATTGGTATGGATGTACATTAGCTTGCCAGACTGCATCCAGGGCTAATTTAATGGAGTATTGCTGCAGCACAAACAGAGGCAAGATACTGCCTAGTCCTCCAGCAAACAGTTTCAGTGATCTGTTTCAGAATATCACGGAGCAAAACTAGTCCTATTAAGTTGGCATGCTTAAATGAGGCAAAAGAACATGATGTGTCAAATCTGTGCCAGCCTCTGAGGATCGCTTGCTTCAGACAGATTTAAAAGCTGGTCAGCACAGCCTCTGAAGCTTTTCATCCTGGCATCATGCATGGGAAAAGGACATAAAATATTGAATTTATTTGGGGCTTTGTAGATCATTTATCAGTGCCGTGAGGGTATTTCTGCATTAACTGAGGTCAATGGCAAGGCTCCTGCTGCCTACTTTGGGTGCATAGGAGCTCAGGGAGTGTTGAACTGCACCCAGAAACAGGGAGGAAGCGCTATTGGAAAGCTGATAGGAAGTGCAGAGCTCAAGGGCAAGCTGGCACCCACCTCCTTCAGCTGCAGCTACTTGGTGACCGTAAGCAGTACTCTTGAGCAGCAGATGTCCTAGGGATTCAGGTATCACTGGGATTATCAAAGCCTAGCTCTCGGTGGTACAAAAGACCTCAACTTGCAGCTTTCTGGGACAAGGAGAAAGTTAATTCACAGAACCATAAAAATTCAAACCTGTTCAAGAGCTGACCTTCATTCAACAATCTTTTTGAATAACGACACATGCAGTCAGGATAGACCACTTGTGTTTTCAAGGCTCTGTTTCTAAAGGTTTTGCTATGCATTTAACTTTACCTCAGAAAACACCCTTTGCAGCAGACAGGAGCCTTGTGTTATATATAGAAATACGTGATAGTAATAGACAGAGAGGAGCCACAGGGCTGTCTGTAGGAGGGGTCAGGGCTTTGAAGTCAGATGCAGGACTCATCACACTTGGTAAGAAATCTGGGGTCCACAGCAGGTGAATGGAGGCAAGGAGGCGATCCTTGGAGGGGTGAATTACAAGTGCTGTCTCAGAGAAGGAAATTTTTCACTTCCCTTTGCCTTCCCCACAGTACTGATCCTGCTGTGGGGGCTTCTACTACCTCAGCCTCTTGTCCCTGCAGCACAAAGGCAACCTCCCTCAAGAAGGGAACCGCAGTCCTGTGCTGGTCTCTGCAGCAGCCAAGAGGCAAAAGCAGCTACAGCTGGGATCAGTTCTGCTTCTGGCATCTGTGTTCAAGCCCAGCTGCTCAGCTGGGGCCTTGCTCCTGCCTCTTGCCAGGCTGGTAACCCATAGCCAAGCGCCCCTGGGTTTGCACATCAGTACTCTCCAACATATGACCTTGTCCCGGTTTCGGATCACCCTCATGAGTCACTTTTCCTATCTCCCTCTTCCAGCTCTCCCAGCAGAGTGGCAGCACGGGGCCAAGAGTCGAACCCATCATTATCTGGCTCCAACCCAACGAGCAGCAGGCTCTGTGAGGGAAGCTGGGGTGCAGACCAAGCAGCTGAGCTTGGTTATCTCTATGTGGGATTCAGGTGCCATGAGGTTAAGGCGAAAGCCAGTTCTGCTGGCACTCTGAGACAGCGGAAGGCATGGTTGCTCCTCCCTAGGGATGCTGCTGGAGTGAGTACTCCATGTTCTCCACTGGTCTGAGTCACTCGTCACCTGTCTGTCACGGGTAAAGCTGGCCATGAGAACCGGAGCCCGGGGAGGCGGCAAAGTGTAAGGACAAAGTGTAAGGACAAAGAGTAAGGACAAAGTGTAAGGACAAAGAGTAAGGACAAAGTGTAAGGACAAAGTGTAAGGACAAAGAGTAAGGACAAAGAGTAAGGACAAAGAGTAAGGACTTGTCCAAAGCGTAAGGACAAGCAGGCCTCACCTGAAGGGCTCAGCAGCTTCCTGGCTGCTAACACGGGCTGCCAGCTCGGGAATTGCCCGGAATCTCCCTGGTGCCCTGCAGCGGGCAGGGAGGGCCGGCACTGCCCGGCCCCAGCGAGCGCCTCTGCCCCGGGGGCTGCGCGGGAGACGGATTCCAGCGCCGGGGTCAAATTCCTCGAGCGAGGGATCTGGAAGTCCTTCAGTGCTGGCTAAAGGCTGCAGACTAACAGAGCTCTCTGTCCCCTCGGCAGAAGCGAGATCCAACCAGCAGAGTGGTTTTCTGCTCGGTCAGTAGGTTGCGTGAAAGGCATACAACAGCGATAAATTATCATGAGCACTTTGTAGTGCTCCTTGACCAAAATTATGTTACTCGCGAAGTGATTTCTTACAATTACTTCTTCGCTCTCTCTTCCCGAGCTATTAAATTGCAAGTCTGTGATTAATTACTACAGCAAACTTTAAATTGTCACCTGAGAACAAAAGGTCTTTTTGATAGCGGATGTTTACTTTGAGCTGAAAGGCCACATGCTCAAATTTTGTTCGGCGTATCTTACTTGCATTTTAATTCTTCGAGTTGAAAATATCATTTGGCTGCACGGAGAAGCAGAAAGGTGAAAATGTCATTGGATAGAACCTCAGACTTTTTCTCACAACTGGCACTTACAAATGTCTTCCGGAAGCTAGAGGTCACTGCACACACAGTCCCACAGCTTTCGGGCATTAACCTGAAGTTACTGTGTGGAACTGGAATTCCTACAGCAAGGTCAGATAGTTTATCCCAAATGTTAGCAAATTCCAACAACTGATCTAACACAGATGCCTTCACTGCCTCCAGTGGGATGCTCCGGAGGCAGAGGAGTGGTTTTGAACAGGGCTGCTGCTTCCTCAGCGCATCCAAACGGCAATCCCGCTGCGGATGGGCTTCGTGCTTCACCCAGATCTGACTGTAACTGCTGTGACCCTCCCCACAAAGGTATTCAGCCTCATCTACATAGGTATATAATTTTTTAATAGATAGGGCAGCAGGAGACACTAGCTGCGCTGTCACCTAAGTGTTTCTGGAAGAGGAAAAAGAGCTATTCAGCATTAAAGATTCAGGAATGTCTGTTGACATATTAAGGAAACAACCTCGGGGGACAGCTGACACGGCTCCAAGAAGCATTACCAAGGGAACAGTGACGCAAATGTCTTCCATTTTTACAGGCTGGCAGCTCGCCAGGTTCCCTCGCCTGATGGCTGATGTAATGCTAATCCCTATCTGGGTTAGCGCTCGGATATCAACCACAGCAGCTCACTGTGCTGCAATCAATATAGCACACTTTTTATAGAAGAGCGTATAAAAAAAAAATCTGCTCTAATCTACTAGGAATATGTACAGTAGAGTAACAGCAGGGGAAATTTAATGGCTAGCCTGGAGCTCACCCAGCGTGTGCTTTTGCAAGCGTGCACGTGTGCGCGCAGGCTTGTACACAAACCCATCTACACCTCAAATAATGGCAAGTCCAGGCGAGGGCCACACATTGAGAAAGGGCTGGCTGTTCATCACGTACAAGAAGAGCCTTCCAATTCCTTTATTAAGTGATGTAATGGCAGAGGAAAACAAGCAAAATGGGACTGGAAAATAAAATGGGTTATCAGTCATAGGATGGAATAAAATGGATGTTTCTGTTTTAATGACAACATTGCTCTCTCTGTGAGTACCAGAGGGCTCTGTGGAGATTAAGGAAGCCTTACAGCACACCTCTGCAGGGTAGAGAGCACTGAGTCAGAGTGAAGGACGCACAGTGGGTCAGTAGCTGTCAAAACCCACCAGCTCCGCAGTCAGCGTGCAAATTCCTTCACAGTGCCACCAACACCAGCACCTTAAGACAAAAAAAATGAGCAGGAAAGGAGTCCAGAGATCCTGAATTACCGTGCAATTATCTGAGGAGAAATTTGGCTTCCTTGTAAAAAGAAGAATTTTGAAATCCTGAGCAATTTCCA